TACATTTGTAGGCGCGTCTATAAAATACCAGTTGGATCGAGAGTGAATAGAATAGAATAGAATTTTTTTTTAAATACATCTATAATATAAAAATGAATCGCTGAATGTGTTGCTAAGCGCAAATCTCGAGAGCAGCTTAACCGATTTCGCTAATTTTTTTTTTAATAATATTTCTTGAAGAACGAAGATGGTTCTTACGGAGAGAAAAATTAAAAAAATTGCCTGAAAAATTCTTAAATCAACACTTTTCTATATTCCCATACAAAAGATTCGTAATAATACTTAAAAATCAATTTGAACCTTAATACCACACCATAAAGTTTAAGTGTTAGTGGAGGGGTTCCGGGAAGGCAAAACAATTGAGTGACGTTAGTATCGTATAAAGAATCGTGGGGCTTGGTTGTAGTGGCTTCTTGCCCACAGAACATCTGACTTCGAATGAAAGTGTTAACTACGGTTTTCATAGTTCCCCAAATTTCTGACAATACGTGTTTATTATTATTTTATACTTGGGTACGTATGGGTTGTTATGGGCATAGTACAATTAACTTACAGTAGGTGGCGCACGTATAGTACCGACACATTTGTAAGTTATATTTCATTCAACATCAATGAATGCATTGTCATTCATAATAATGTAACTCTTCTAAATTTAAAACGATATTACCACAATTATATCTTCTGCGGCTGCAAAGCGCCGGGTACCAGCTAGTTTTTCAATATAAATGATTACAAACTATTTACAAAATTTATTTTAGAAACTGATTAGAGGCGACCACCTCATTCCCAGGGCTTATTATCACCCACGTATTCATTTATACTATAATAACCCTTTTTATACACTTTCAGCTTAACAAAACATTTGAACTTGGTAATAGAGAGAGCTTGTACACTTTCCGGGACCTTTTTGTAATTACGTATACATTGCCCCAAGAATGAATTACTGACTCTGTGGAGTCGAGAAACTGGTATCACTAGCTTGTGTTTGTTCCTAGTGTTTACAGAATGTATATCACTTTTTTTACTAAAACTACCTTTGTTTTTGTGAACATACATTAAATTTTCGTAAATATACTGAGAGGCCAAAGTTAATATATTTATTTCTTTAAATTTATCTTTAAGAGACTAGAGCGAGAGGTTGCGTCAATCTGGCGGAGCTTCATATCGATGGTGGCGGTTTAGAATTGAGGGTATATCGAGAAACCCTTCATTCGTTTGTGCAGTATAAAATTCAGTGTAACTGAGCCGATGAAAAAAAAAATCTGTGCTTGGGCTCTGTAGGCTTCGGACGTGTCGGTTGAGTTCACTCCCGTCACTCCACTCTCATTGCCTCTGCGCACACTTTATTTAACCGCGGTTTTTTACTTAAAGAAATACACTGCATTGCTTGGTGCCAAACCAAAGTAACCAAACACAAAGTTTGGTTACTGCCTTGGTGCACTTATTGTCGTGCGCGAAGCACGCTGTCCCGGGAGACAGCGGTCTCACAGTGAAGTGTAGTGAACGTCTTCGGTCTTCTTGGATGCCGAATCAGGCTCCAACATGGACACTAACACCCGCGCCCCACTCATGCCCGAAGACGAAGGTTTCACCCTCGTACAGTGCAAAAAGCGCAAACACGCAGCCCCTAAAAAGGCAGCCGAGCCTAATTCGGTGCCCTCGTCCCCCACCGCCACTTCGGTAAAAAAGCCAGCCTCCGCGAAGCGCGCTCAAGTCCCCAATCCTGCGACCAAGCCCGCAGCAAATGGGTCTCCTGCTGAAGGTAGGGTAAAGCCGCCGCCGCCCATAATCATCCAAGACAAAACTAAATGGAGCAACCTATCATACTGGTTGAAATCCAAAAAAAAATCTATTGCCCAAAGGTACAAAACGCCGGTCAGGGCATTCACATGTTTGTAAACTCGACCGAGGAATTCCGCAATGTAACAAGTCACCTGCGAGCCCAACAAATAAGTTTTCACACATACGCCCTCCCAGAGGAGCGTAACCTTCGCGTGGTTGTCCGCAGTCTCCCTAAAGAGCTCGAGACTGAGTACATATTAAACGACTTCAAAGCCCGAAATCTCCCGATCCAGGAGGTGTATAGAATGCATTACCAGACCGACCGTAAACGCTTCTTAGATTTATGCCTGGTCATTCTGGGCCTGTCTCCGGAAGGCAAGGAGATCTTTAACGTTCGGCGCATCTTCCACCTAACGGGGATTTCAGTTGAATCCCCTCGACATAGGAGCATCGTTGGCCAGTGCCACCGATGCCAATTATACGGCCACTCGGCCAAAAATTGCTCCTCCAGGCGTAGGTGCGTCAATTGCCTAGGTGACCAGTGACCACGGCACCACTGACTGCCTTCGCACGCCCGAGACGGTTGAACTCCCGAGTTGCGATTGCTGTGAAGAGGGTCACCCAGCGAACTATCGCGGGTATTCCAAAGCACCGCGAAGGAAGCAGCGCGAAGGTAAAAATAGTCCCGGACGCACGGGTCAAGCCAGTGTGTTACGCTCTCGGTTGCCTGCCCAAAAACCTGTACCGTTTTCAGTGCCCACTTCCGAGCCTCAAATCGTCACCAAGCCCGTCCCAGTCGCCGGGGCGGCCGAGCAAGGTCCTAGCCCTCCTGCGCCCTCCGCGCCAAAACCCAATGCTTGGGTTAAACCGCCAGCACTCGTCGTCTCACGGCCAGCGCCACCTTCACAAGCCCCAAAATCGAAGTCCATCGCACAAGGCTCTTCTTCTTTCGCCGCTGACTTCTCTCTAGTCTGCGTCTTCATCAGCAACATTAACGTTCTATGATATATAATCCTCTTCGGCACGTAAACTAGGCGGAGCCACTACCCCACAGGATAAACTCAACGCCACGATTGAGCAAATTTTTGATTTTTGCTAAGATTTTTGCTGAGATTGAGGCTAATCGACGCAAAGTGGTCTTTCCAGTGCGCCTAAATACCTGAATTAAAAATCAAAATAGCAGTACAACCTAGGTAGAACTAAATCACGCTCTCTAACTGTCACGTTCTTTAATACGAAACGCCTTAGAGATCAAAAAGACGAGATCGCGCTCTTCCTGCGTAAACACGATGTAGACGTCATGCTGGTGCAAGAGATCTTCTTGAAGCCTAACCATCGCAACCCTAAGATCGCAAATTACTCCACAGTTAGAAATTATAGGTTGACCAGACCTAGAGGCGCGGCTCCTTGATATACTACAAAAGGTCCTTGCACTGCGTACCGATCGATGCCCCCCCCCCCCACCTTTAACCAACATAGAGGTCTCTATATGTAAGGTAGCTCTCTCTGGCCATACGCCACTCACCATCATATCGGCGTATCTACCGCCACTCAAACGCATAGTTGAATGAGACTTTGTAGAATTACTCAATATAGGCTTAAAAAAAATAAAATCCAGTGTTATAATAACCTATTGGCAACCAGTCACCAACGCGCGTCCTTGACGTAGCTATACTCAAAGATGTCCGCTACTCGATATCATTGATTGAAACAATATTAGAACTTGATTCGGACCATAGACTAGTCCTAATGCAGCTGGGCCAGCCCGCAGGTGAGGTCCTTCAGACCAAAACCATCGTGGACTGGCGTAAGTCTACTACCTCCCAGTACTTACACAAAATCCCTGACAATATAGACTCGCCAGAGGAGGTCAATGAGGTGACTAGCACCCTACCGGCCCACCTCACCCATACAGTTGAAAAATGCTCTCGTAGGGTTCGTGTGTCGAGCAATCGACACATGAAGCTTGCGAGTGACATTCGACAGCCGATTAGAGCAAAGAACGCGGCCCTAAGACACGATCACTATCGTACCATAGACAACAAATTCCGTGGACAGTGGTAGCCACAAACTAGTAAGAAGTGCTATGTGGTAGCCATAGATAAATATATATGTAGCAAGCTAGCAAGCTAGCTGTAACAAGCTAGCTAGTAGGTGGTAGCACATACGTAAAAAACTGTACAGAGGCAAAGCTTCTAAGGCGCTGTCAAAATTTTTACCTATTATGGTAGGGTTGGCACAGGAGGATAAAATTAAATAAACAAATCGTTTATTAGCTTTTATATATGTAATCTACTTAAGATATAATTTCTTTATAAACTACCTACTTATTCTAAATATTTTATTTTATAATTTTTGTTGTTCGACAATTTTTGTGCCTTTTGGTAATGGTAAATTATGATTATAAAACAAAGTTTTTTTTTTTGATAATCTATTGACATGCACTCACATGGCACACACATTTTAATATTTCATTACCAATATTTACAATGTTTCTTTCGAGATCAAAATATTTGCAAAATGTTTGCTCAAACAATTCATCTTTTTTACATAACCCTGGGTTTGAGCACTGGCCGAGCCGGTTTAAAGCAGTTTCACTCTGTAAATAACGAGCCGCCAGAGCTCATGCTCACACGCGTCTCAAGCTTGTAGTAGTGTACCTACCTATCATAGCGCGGTTGTATGAAGCTTTGCCTCTATACGGTACGGTTTCTTTACTCATGTAGTGGTAGACAGTGGTGTATGACACATTACGAACTGTATTGCGTAAGTTCAATACATAAAAGTTCTGGTTAACCTCATTCATCACCGTTTGGTGATTGATTGGCATGTCCGAAATGATGATGAAATTCTCTAATCATCATTTTAACGATTTCATGTTTACCGTCTAAGACGACAGGTTTTCTACTTTCCTCTCTCAAATTAGACTTAAAAGGTAAACGTGCGTTCAAAAGAAGGAGGTTATCTTCTCCTAGTTCTAAAGATAATTTGCTTAAGCGTGAACTTTTTTCAACGCTTCTGCCCATTTTAAGCAGTTTATTTCCGAGTGGAAACACTCGTCTTGAACGAACTTCCAGATTAATAATTCTACCCTCTTTAAAAGTGCTATTTCCAACGCATTGTCGGGTCACTTAATCCACGCTAACACCGTACGTGAGTCCGTCTAGAATACTCGTTCGGATATTTCATTCTGCTTTCATTCTCTTTGATCGATGCAGCTAGTCAGCTGCTATAAGAGCTGCTTGTAATTCAAGCTTTGGAATGGTAATCGGATTCAACGACGCTACTCGTGCTTTAGCAGATTCTAGTGTAATTCGGCTCTCTTCTCGCTCGTCCGTGGTGACATAATACACCGCGGTGACATAATACGCTTTTTCACTAGCGTCCGTGAACGTACGTAACTCCCCCCTGCTCATGCCTTCAGCAACGGATCTAGGTACTTCTAGATAACCTAATTTCTTAACTTCCGTTAACCATGTGCACCATAACACGTCCAATTTGTGTGGAACTTGATCATCCCAAGATATGCCTAATCTCCATGCTTGCTGAATCAGTGACTTTCCTTGCACCGTTATGTGTGATGCGAGTCCTAATGGATCGAAAACTGACATCACAGTGCTCGTTATCTCACACTTCGTAGGCGGTCGTACACCTTCGATGACTTCCGTAGGTGTATTACGAAGACTTATGGAGAAATTTAACGTATCTAGTTTTATATTCCAAATCAAACCTAGCGTGTGTTCAGCGTGCTCCCTATCGCCTAGTGAAGCACTGTCACTCTTACATTTATCTTCCATTTTACATAAAACTTCGGACTAGTTACTGGCCTATCCTCTTAGTTGGAAAGAAGCATGTTTATGTAATTCATTCATATCGTTTACTACCTTTTCGGCCGTCGTCACGTTGGGAAATGCCTGTAGATAGTCATCCATATAAAAATTGCTTTCCGTCGCGGAAGCTTTCTGGATAGAGATGTGCTTTGTCTTGCGCATTTATATTTTTCACTTAAATAGCGGTGCATCAAATCTCCAAATATAAGTGACGTCATTCTATACTTTTCTGGTGGCGCGTCACGATTGTGCCGCCACAGAAATCGGATACTGTCCCTGTCTTCCTAGCGAATTTTCACTTGCAGTAACATCTCGTTAATATCTGCCATCAGACTGAAGACCCTAAATCTTTAGAGTCAGAATAGTGTCCCTCATACAGGCATTGTTCACGCCCGAACGCTGGTTTCGGAATCGACGTCAGAGGGCGCGTGGCTCGGTGCCATACCGGTTTGACGTTCGGGCTAGCTTGAGGGTGGTGAGAGCGCGCGAGCGCAAAGAGGAGTCGTTTGCCAGCTGTGCTTGGGACAGCACGCTGTCATTTTTTGTTCGGGGATGTGGAATTGTGCACGCACGCGTCGAGTAGATATACGGTCTAGGGTTCGAACCGCGCATTCCTTGTTCGAGAGCTTCTCCCGGTTGATCATCAGGAAATCATTATAATCGTGTTGTCGCGTTAAGTGCCCTTTTTTGTGTGTGTTGGCTTGTTAGTTTACGCGTCAACGAGGCGTATTTTGAATCTTTTCGCGACGTGGTTTTTGGTGTCGAATGAAGGAACTTAGTTGTGTTTAACTGAGTAGTATGACTCATTAATAGATCGCTTTAATTCCCTCTTTATAATTTGTGATAAGTAAATCCGGGACATTGAATGTTGAACTTTGAACTACTGTCCGTTACTGTGTCGGGTATCACGTGTTCGATTCTACGATGAATGTGGAATTAGGCGAGTTTTAGTTAGTTAAATGTACAATGAAGCTAATAGGACTGTCCTCGTGACGAACGAAGAAAGTGACTGTGGACGACTCCGTGGAAGATTACCACAATTTGGAGCGGTGCTGAAGTCCGAGCTGCTGCCGACGGCAACGGTCTCATAAGGTCTACCACACTCAGTCACACATAGATACACATCACTGACCCTGACTTCCCATGCACCATACAACCACATGCGACCTGACCGAACCCTGAGGGACCAGTCGCCTTGGATATAGGTAGGTAAGCTCGGGTTTAATATTCTCCCTGTTGAATGGCAGCAGGATAGAACGCTCCCCCTTATTGTTTATTGTGATAGAACATATTCCACGTGGCCATATTGTGGCCCCGTCCCTCTGCTGCCCGTCGATGGGATTACTCATGGGCCCTAATCCCGTCACCTGATGTTGGGGCAGCTAGGGGCGTGTACAGGCATAATTGATAGAATTAACTCAAAAATTCCTATATTACAAGCCAAGTACGAAATGATTCCTAAACAATTTGTATTCGATAAGAAGTACAAGATACAATTAAATGAAACCAGCCAGCCGGAAGGATTAAGCCCAAAAGAGCTTAGAGTTTTCACCGATGGTTCAAAAACAAATGAAGATGTAGGTTCTGGAACTTTCTCTGAAGACCTCAATATCCACATATGCACACCGCTGGGTACCTATAACACAGTCTTTCAGGCGGAATTTATGGGTATCATTCCAGCGGCCATAGCAATAGATGCTAGGAAGGTTAATGACTTCCCCATCAAAATACTGACTGACAGTAAGGCGGTACTACAAGCTCTGAGTTGCAATGTGGTGAACTCGGGACTAATATATGAATGCCATCAATGATTAAATGAGGTATGTAAAAACAACAATGTGGCTCTGCAATGGATAAAGGGATACAGTGGATCCAGAGGCAACGATGTAGCAGACGAACTGGCCAGAAGAGGATCGGCTCTGGCCACTATAGGGCCGGAACCAATCATACCAATCCCCTTTGGTAACGTTCGTTCACTGGTACGTAGACACTTCACTAATCAACACGCTCAGCTTTGGAAAAATCTAGTATACTGTAGACAAGCTAGGGTGCCTGCCTGAAAACCAAACTAACCAAAGTTCTAATGAGACTGAACAAGCCGCAAATCAGGATAGTAACAAATGCTATCACAGGACACGACACCTTTAACAAACATTTATTATACTATAGGTGTTACAGATAGTCCCCTGTGCAGGGAATCGTACGTCGTTCGTCATCCGTACGCCTTAACAAACCGGCTTCGTATTTATTTATTTATTTATTTATTTATTATTAGACATGCTTACAAGCTAACAGATGATAGCATCCAACACGCTTGTAACATTAGATACATTAAATCAATTTAAAGTCAAAATCTTAATCAAATAAAACACATAACATTAAATTACAAAATAAATTACCTACATCAAATTAATATATATATATCCAACATTAATTATTAAAATAACCAAATTAGTCAAATTAATATTACACATAATTAATTAAATTAGTAAATAAATCAAATTAATGTATGGGTTAAAAAATTATACAATGTCAGTTAGAATATATCTTAATTTACTAAAAAGTTTCCTCAATCCATCAGCAAATAAGTCAAGATCATCGTACTGAGCAAGTATGTTACCAATCAATCATAGTGCGCGGACAGTGGGCGCGTGCTCACCGCGCCTGGTGCGCGCGACAGGACGCGCTAGCAAACGAGGCCGGCGGCGCGGGGCTAGCTGCAGCCCTGACTTCTGCCGTATATTACGGGGAACGAAGATGCGTACACTCTCTAGTATCTGCGGACTATAGATCTTGTGATACAGTATAGAGAGATAGTGTGTCAGCATAAGCATAACCCTCCTAAATTTCAATGTTTCCATATCAACCATGCCCGATACGAACAAAGAAGGATACAGGTGAGGATAGTACACGTATCGCTTCCTAAATCACCATCTGGCAAACTTACGCTGTATCTTCTCGATCATAAGAACATACTTATCTTCAAATGGGTCCCAGACAACAGCACCATACTCCAGCTTGCTACGAACAAATGCGTTAAATAATATTTTAGCAACTACTACATTGTCAAATTGTGTTCCAGTCCTAATAACAAAACCTAACATTCTATGTGCGTTCTTACAGATACTTGTCATGTGTAGATGAAAGTCTAATTTAGAATCTAATAACAACCCTAGGTCTCGAATGCCATTTACTCTTTCCAGAGTCATGTAGGCTATACAAATTTACAATTGGTCTATGTTTCCGAGTGAAAGTAATTATTTTGCATTTATTATTATTTAAAGGCAATAGATTTTCTTGACTCCAATTCAACACCGCGTCAATGTCTCTTTGTAGATTTATGGTATCTGATTCAGATTCAATACCCAGACTGAGTTTTAAGTCATCTGCAAAGAGAAGGCATTCAGAAAAACAAACGATGTTTGGCAGATCATTTATAAAGAGCAGGAAGAGTGTTGGACCCAAAGTACTGCCCTGACTTACCCCTGACCTCGTGAAGTAATCACTGGAGTTATAGCCATCTACCCGTACATATTGACATCTACTATTCAGATAGGATGCGTAAACTGAATGAGTTTGGGGATAAAGCCAATAAATGCCAACTTTTCTAACAATTTGTCATTGTCGACGAGGTCAAAGGCCTTTTTGAAATCGAAGTATGCAGTGTCCACTTGTTTGTAATTGTCCATCTCCTTATACATATAGTAAACATGTGCAATTAAATTCGTAGTAGTAGAATGCGCCTTACGGAAACCATGCTGGCTATTGTGTAACAAATGGCCTACCTGATTATTAATGTGTTTGGTGAGAATGGATTCAAATATTTTGGCAAACACTGATAAAACAGCAATTGGTCTAAATGCTGACACATCCATACTCCATCTCCTTTCAGCACGGGAGTAACCCTGGAACGTTTCCAAATTAGAGAGTACCTAGCATTAGTTAGTGATAGGTTAAAGAGATGCAAAAGAGGCCACTCCAGTACCGCTATACAATCTTTAACCAAGAAACTAGGAATACCATCAGGTCCACTAGATGAGCGCGGTTTGAGACGTTTCACAGCCTCCTTCAAATCCTTCCCATTGACCGCGTTTATAGATACGGACGTAATGTCCTGGTTAAAATGTGCAGCTTGAGCAGCCTTATTATGATCCAAAAAGGGTATGTTCGGATGAAACACAGAGCTGAAAAATTCTGCAAAGGCATCAGCAGCAGCCTGCCCTTCCACATCAGTATCCTTATAAATATAAGTATCCGCACGTCTTCTGCCACCAGATTTTTTGTCTTTAACGTAATCCCAAAATTTAACTGGGTCGTTAATAATATTCCGTTGTACCGTTTTTAAATATTGCCTATACTCCCTGACAATCAGTTTTTTTACTTGCTTCCTATAATACTTAAACATATCTGTTGTCAGGTATACTACGTACAGTCTTATTCAAAATATTCAATCCTCGTTCTTCGGGGTCGTTTGCTGGCTTACGCGCGGATACACGCAAAGACTCCAAACTAAAATAATCCTTAATTAATCTCTCCATGTCTCAGTGATCGCGAGGATGAAAACTGGTAGCGATCACCGAACGGTTAGAGGCACACTGAACATTAACGTTAAGTTGGAGAGGTGTCGTCTAATGAAGTCAACGCTCCGTCCTCCTCGTGCTCTAATCCAGTCCCGAAACCTTTCAGCTCGAGTTACAAAATCGTTTTCAGTGCCTAGAAGATTGCAATGCAGTGGACGATATAAATGACAAGCTCGTGGAAACTGTCCTTGCGGTCGGAGCTAAGTTTTGCAAGAAGCGCCGCATAAGAACACAAAAACTCTCCAATCACACTCTTAATCTCATGGCTGTTAGACGGGAAATGAAGCTGCAGTCTTCAGTAGATTTGATAACATACAGGCAACTGAACAGACAGATCTCCAAATGCATGCGGCGGGACTTACGCAACTTTAATACTGTTCGTATTAA